GATAGGTTTGATGCATGCGTGGAATGATAATGAACAAATTCTTCCTCCTCTCTCTGCTTTCTTTGTTGGGGCTTAATTGCTTGTTAAAATTACGCCTTTGGCCTTGATCCTGGCTTCTTGGTCTTACAAGCAAGACTTTTGAGGTGTAGACAAGTTTCATTGCTCTAAGACCTGTAATCAGGCTCCTGCCTCTTATTTAAACAGTTAGCTTTGGGAATAGCGGTGTACACAGAGTCACTTTAAACTCATTTCTGTCTCCCTCATGGTGCCTGCCAGGCATAGAGCTAGCTACTGAATCGGAACTTAGTAAACACGTGTGGATTAGTTTAGCTAAGTTTACACGGTTCCTTGCTGTGGCAAAGTGACTGTTTTGTTTTTAGTCATGATATGTGTGCTAATTTCTATCAGCCATGTCCACTACCTTTTTAAAAAAGACAGATGGTAAAAAAAAAAAAAAAAAAAAAAAAAAAGATTCCGGTATTTGTTAAGGTGGTACTGCTTATTTGCTATAAGTATTCTTGATTTTGATAGACATTATCCAAAAATTGCAGGATTACTTTGTCCAAAGCAATAATGTATTTTCCAACAGAGCTCTTGTAAAAGAGTGGAACCCAGAGTTTTCCAGTGTAAGATGCTGGGATCAAATCCAGGCTTTCAACAGCATCTGTGTGGCTCGGACAGGTTGCCAGTCTCTCTGGTCATCAGTTTCTCCATCTCTATACTAATGATAGTGATCATGATAATATCTACCTCTTAGGGTTATTACAGGGGTAAACGAAATGATACAGGCATAGAAGTTAAGCCCAGTGCCTGGAACATAGTGAGAACTTAACAAATATCATTTATTGCTTCTATTCAACTGTTTAGAACCTCAGTCAAGTAATATGCCCATAGGACAAAGTTAAGAATAAACCAAAGGAATGAAAACTGTATGTATTTCCAGGCGAAAGGATTCTAAGTAACCATTTCCTGTCATGTTGTGATGGTATCTAAATAATAAATTCAGAAGGACTGGTATATTGGGCACACTGGATTGAAGGCTAGTTCAGAGGCATGCAAGATCCTGATGGTGACTTATTTCCTTGCTTGATGTAATGGTTAGCTAGCACACAGGGCCTGGCACCTAGGAGGCCCTCTATAAATGATCGCTATTAGCTGTAGTTATTTCAGGTTCCTGGGATGCATTTGCAGACTGAGAGAAAGAGCATGAGTAGTATTTAGGTTCTGAGTCTGTGAGTGTTTGTGACAACACTTTTTGATCTATTGAGGTCAGTGTTTAGAAAGTATATCAGTTACTGGCCGGGCACGGTGGCTCACGCCTGTGATCCCAGCACTTTGGGAGGCCGAGGTGGGTGGATCACGAGGTCAGGAGATCGAGACCATCCTGGCTAGCATGGTGAAACCCCGTCTCTACTAAAAATACAAAAAAATCAGCCGGGCGTGGTGGCGGGTGCCTATAGTCCCAGCTACTCTGGAGGCTGAGGTAGGAGAATGGCATGAGCCCTGGAGGCAGAGCTTGCAGTGAGCGGAGATCGCACCACTGCACTCCAGCTTGGGTGACTGGGAGACAGAGCTCTCCTCCGTCTCAAAAAAAAAAAAAAAAAGTATATCCGTTACTGCCACAATAATGCTGTATAAGAAATGACTTCAAAACTCAGTGGCTTGAAACAGCGAGCATATATTTTCTGTGTGTTGGCAGGGGGTCGGCTGATCTAGGCTGGGCGTGGCCTCAGGCTGCAGATTGTGTACAGGTTTGTTTCATGTGTCTGTCATCCTCCTTGGACCAGCAGGGTACTGGGGACGTGATCTCTTGTGGTAATGGCAAAAACACAGTAGGCCACACTTCATCACCTAAGCATATTTCAAGCTTCGGCTTATGCCACATCTACTAACCTCCCATTGGGCAAAGCAGTTAAATGGGCAAACCCATGCTTAAGGGATGGAGAAGCACATAGCAAAGAGCTGCCAAGTCACATGACCAGAGGGCGTGGATCTAGGAGCTGTGATGAATAAGGGCCGCCAGTTCAGTGCACCTAGTTCCCCATTTCACTTCCCCAACTGAGCCATTGCGATAGATGATATGGAAGGGCTTTCCTTGTTGTGGGCAGTTCCATGGTATCTGCATTAAGATTCTGAAAGCACTCCACCGTAGCATGCACGCACATTGCAAATTCCCCTTTGGTCTCTAGGAGGCTTTCCTCTGATGGACAGGAATTTACTCTACTGTAAACCAAAGAGTCCCAATTTAGACAGATACGATGGATTAGGCAGACAGCATCATTGACCTGGTTCCACTTCGTTAGCCTTTCCAATTAAGGAGGATGTTGCTGAAAGCAAGACCGCACAGATATATAGTCATACCTTGAATCCTCTGGACTGAGGCTCTTTAGGGAGAGTCTTCCGTTTCCAGTGCGCACAGAGGGAGGAGAGCCTAATAATGTTGGCAAGTGAATCCTAAGTATTAATGATGTGGCCACTTGTGAGGACTCTATCTTCTTCCCGGTTAGTTAATGAAGATGCTAAATAGATAGCATTTGTGCTTTTGCTTTCCAGAATCTTCTTAATCTTGGATCCCTGACCATGCACTGATAAGGTCTCTGATTTTGGAACATCAAATCGAGAGTTGATGTTTCACTGTGTCTAGAAATCAGGCTCTTGGTTTTGTCAACACAGTTGACAGATTTCCTGTGACTTCCCAAGGAAAATCTTGTCCATTGGAGCTGCTTTTAGGGGTTCAGGATGGCATTCTCCCCTCTTCAACCTCGTGGAGATTCTAAGCAATGAAGCATAAGTCTCAGACAATAGCCAAATGGTCTGTGAAGTACAGCTTAATTAATCTGGGCACGCACCCAACACCCCAGTCTGGTGCTTTGCGAGGACTTGGCTTGGGGATTGAGGCTAATTTCGAGGCTGAGATGCAGCTTCTTATCTTAAAATCAAAATCGAGGTGGTAAGATCTGAATGGACAGACAGACAGACCCAGACTCCTCTGACCTGAATAGCAGATGTTGCATGCTCTCACCCACTAGGCATATAGCAGGTCTGACTCACGCTGCCACCCACAGACCAGGAGGATGGTCTTGCTTCCCAAAGACAAAAATGGGTCCTGCCCCAATTGCTTGCTTGACACAGGGAAACAGGAAATACAGAGTAGAGACTTTCTGCATACGAGTGATACAAAACCTGCCTGATCAAAAAAACGTTGCTCTACGAATGTTGGGTTTTATCAATCCTAGCTGTCACTTCTTCACCCCTGGGAAGAAATCAGTAAGGATTTGAAGAGACAGGCCCCAAACAGCTCCTTCATGACTTCTCCAGATTCCTGTATAGGTCAAGGCTGCAATGTGGGGAGACGGGGAGAACATGTTTCCCTCAATGTTTTCTTGGGTATGAGGAAGACTCAATGCCTGGGGGAATGTGAGAATTAATGTGGGATGTTCTCTTGGCAGTTTCCTTTCAGTTACACCAGTGGACAATTACTGGGAGTTCGACTCAGAATTGGAGTTGGGAGACGATGAATTCTTCCTAAAGGACAGAGCGGAGCAGAGCTCACCATGTTTCTGAGATCGTGCCTCTTACACCCCTCAGAAATGGGCATCATTACAAAGATATCATAGAACAGTCATCAAGACAGTGAATGGCAGCTCACCTAGAGGAGGGGTTTAGAATGTTCCGATTTCCCTGCATTTCCTTCTTCTTCACATTATGGGACAGTGGGCTGGTGCTAATTTGCATGGTTTCCTAAAACCCTGTGGTGGAAAATCTGCTAAGAGAAAGCAAAGCTTCAAACTGGGTGTACTTCAGGGCCCTGAAATCATGCCCATTCTCTGTAGGAGGAAGCTTAAGGTTTTTCCCAGAATTATAAATCCAAGGTGATTAAGTTCAGAGCAGACTTGGTGTAGACAGAAATAGCCTTCATATGCTGGGTTTCCTGTTTTCTTTGGAAACCACTCACTGGACACCACCACCTCCTCCCATCAGTCTTTTCCTCCTCCTGTACCCGCCCTGTCTCTCCTCCAACCCAAAGGGTTCATGCTTAATGACCCGAGACAGTACCAGCAAGCATTCCCGGTCAATCGGCTTTTGTAGAGAGTGAATGAATAGGACATTTCTCTGGCCTTCTCTATCCTAAAAAAAGACCTTCCCCAGCCCATTGGAATGTGCTACTCAAACCAGAAATTAAGCTGCTCGCGCTCATTCCTTCCCTCATTCTTTGCAGGATGAGACACAAATTGATGATGGCCTTGCCCCTAGTCAGGACTTTATATCCTTTCTGGTTTATTCCTGATCCTCTTACTGAGCCAAACTCTCCTCCGAATAGAGGGTTTGGATGCACGTTGAGCTGTTTGACAAGGGTGCCTTGTTTCTTTTTTCTTTACATTTTGTTGTTTTGTGTAATCTCCATGTGGGTGTTTCCTTCACAAAATCTTGAGCCTCCTTCATCACTTGGGCATGAGAGGAAGTGTTGGGGCAGCGTGCAGACTGGGCCATGCTGTCCTGACATCTCTGTAGAATAGAGGACACAGATTGGGCTGCCCTCCCCATGGGGTGGCTTGAGCACTGAGGAAATCAAGCTTTGTTTGAAAATGATGCTGAGAACGTGGCATGGTGACTCATGCTTATAATCCCAGCTCTTTGGGTGGCCAAAGTGGGAGGATCGTTGAGGCCAAAGTGTTGGAGAAAAGCCTGGGCAACATAGTGAGACCCCATCTCTACAAAAATAATTAAACCAAAAAAAAAAAAAAAAAGCCTGGCATGATAGTGCATGTCTGTAGTCATAGCTACTTGGGAGGCTGAGGTGGGAGGATCACTTGAGCCCTGGAGGTCGAGGCTGCAGTGAGCTGTGATCACGCCACTGCCCTCCAGCCTGGGCAACAAAGCGAGACCCTGTCTCTTTAAAAAACAAACAAACAAAAAACCAGAAAGAAGGAAAATGATGCTGGGGTAGTAAGTCAATTTTTTTCCACTCCTCACGTGCATTTTCTCCTTTCATCCCACAGGAGCCACACCCGAGTCCGCTCATCACCCTGGAGACTCAGGTGAGTACCTTTGCTGTCTTGGCCGCTTATCTCAGCCTTGATATTCCAGCTCTCGAGGGCACTTGTCCCCTGGCTCCGAAAGGCTGGACAGGCCCATGGCTGCCCCTTGTCGCATTTGGATGTGTGTGTGCCTGCACATGTGTGTATCCACACTGGCAGCTAGTGTACACGTGTGTGCAGTGGTGTGGGTGTACATGTGTACACATTTGCACCCAGGTGTCTGAGGACCCTCCCACCTGTGAGAAGAACCATAATCATTTCTTTTGAGTTTTCCTCTGTCCTTCGCTCCTGCCCAACCATTATGCGGAGGTTCATGCAAAGGAGAGAGGAGACAGAGGGGAGCCGTGAAGCGGGAAGATGCTGCTCTTTGATGCCTGAACTTGGAGGACTTTTTTTCCTTGGCAGTGAGGGCGGCAGACGGAGGGAAGTTGCATCCTTTCATGTGCTTGCGTGTTAGGCCATTCTGAGGAATCATGATTGCAGTGGTGTTTCCCGTGTGGAGAGGAGGATGACCAGAGTGTCTTGTAAGGCAGAGCACAGTCCTGACTGTCTGCTTTCTGTCTTCCTGGGAGATAGGACACTGCAGCAGCTATGAGTGTAGGCCTTGGAGTTCAACAGAGCCAGGTGGAATTCCACCTCTGTGCCTTCTACCCTGCGACGTTTATGGGGCCACATAATGTCTAAGCCAGTGTCCTTCCATCTGAAATGTCATCCCCGTGATAGTGCCCACCTTGCAGGGTTGTGGTTGAGGATTACAGGAAATGATGTTTATAAGGTCCGGGGTGCGTGCTAAGTGCTTGTGAGTGGTAGCATTTTAAACCAATAGAACTGTTACCGTTCCTGCTGGGTTTGAAGGGGATGTTTCTTATCTTTGGACTGATTCTTTCCTTAGCTCTTTGAGTTTGGCTGACAGGCAAGAGAGAAGATAGACAGGACGGGCCTCATTCAGAGCCCCACAGGGAATAGTTTGCAAGTGTCAGTCACTGTCAAACCTGTGGGAACCTTTCAAGGCTGAATGACAGCTCAGGAGTTTCAGGGGTTTCTGGGGTGCACTGGAAAAGACCAGCTGCTCCCCTGGCGTTTGCCCCCTCCACCTTGGGTCCTTGCCGTCTCCTTGGCATCTCTGCTTGGGTCCTCCTAAGAGGAATGAGGAGACCCTCCTTGCTTCCTCCCTGCTGGGGAAGGCCAGCAGATCTTCAGGGTTTCCTTGTGCTTTTCTGTCTTCCCTTTCTCTGGCACACACGTGTAGCCATATGGGCCCCAGGGCTGACCAGGCAGCAGGACCAGCAGGGAGGTATAGAATGTGCAGCTTTGAGGAGGAGAAGGATTCAGTTTCCTCTGCCTGTTTGGCTGCTCTCTGGCTTGGTTTTGTCTGTACTTACCACCTTGACCACATTTGCCTCATGTGAATTTCATCTATTCTATAAAGTCACCTAAAAATACCTTTTTCCTTAACGTAACTCACTTCGCTTTCAGAAATAGACTTACCTTAATCTAATGGGTCTAAACCAGGGAGTGGTTTGGATTCCTGGTGGTTATTTGGCAACGTCTGAAGACATTTGGTGGTGGTCTCATCTGGTTGGGGGGTTTACGACTGACATCTAGTACGTAGAGATCCAGGTTGCTGTTAAATCTCCTACAACACACAGGCCAGCTCCCCACTGGAAAGAAATATCCGGTCCTGGGCCTCGCACAGTGGCTCACGCCTGTATTTCAGCACTTTGGGAGGCCGAGGTAGGCAGATCAGTTGAGGCTAGGAGTTTGAGACCAGTCTGGCTAACATGGTGAAACCCCATCTCTACTGAAAAAAAATACAAAACGTAGCCAGGCTTGGTAGTATGTGCCCGTAATCCCAGCTACTTGGGAGGCTGAGGCAGGAGAATCACTTGAACCCAGGAGGTAGAGGCTGCAGTGAGCCGAGATTGAGCCACTGCCCTCCAGCCTGGGTGACAGAGTGAGACTCCGTCTCAAAAAAGAATGATCCAGCCCTAAATACTAATGGTGTCGAGATTGAGAAACACCGTCTCGAGCAATAATATTCGTGGAACCACAAGTTTGAAGTGCTAGTTATATATTTTTTGCACCACATTAAAATAAATATTAAACTATGAAAATAATGTTCCTTTAGGCGCCTAAAGTTTAGGTGATGTCACCTAAACTTCCTATCAGAGATGTGTGTGCTATCCTTTGGGAAATGTCTCTCCCTAGTCTACCTCATGGACTATGAGAGAACTTCCACGGTGTTTTTAAAATGATGGTCCTTCTCTTCCTTATCCTTCCCCAGAAGGATAGCCTATTAGACTTAGGAAGACCCATGGGCAAACATCTGTGTCCTGAACTCTGGAAGTCAAATCTTATCTCCTGGAAGGGGAACAGCTGCACCCCTGGATGGTTCTGTCTTTGACCTTGCTGTACCCTTCACTCTGGACACCACCCCATCAGCCCTTCAAAACCCGCATGGGAAAGAGGAGTTGCAGACCAGTGGCTTTGGCCAGCACCTGAGGCTTCCAGCAGCAACTCCTTACACAGTGACCACTCTTAAAATCCAATCTGTTAGCCTAAGGGACCTGAGCCTCCATCTGCAGTCAGCAGGGGCACAAGGTAGACTCTCAGCATTTGTGCTGTGCCACTGGGGAAGGGCTTCAATTTGTCTGCAAACAATGCTCCATCAGTCTCATTTGGTTCTCTGTCTTTGGGGAGCCTGGGAATATTGTTGTCGCTCCCCCAGTTCTGATTTCGCATGTTAAAGAGATGTTGGAACCCAACCAAAGTGCAAATGTTTCTTTGTGACTGTTGGCACAAGCCTGTGGCCAGATCTGACTTTGCGCTGGGCCTCAGCCCATTGCGAGGTGAATGATGGGATCCTCTTCAGCTGCCTGCAGGCAGGTCGGACAAGGGGGTCAGGTCCCTTTCTGGCAGGAAGTAGTGCCTCAAATGTTACCCATATGCCATGAACACGATGGCAGATGTGGCCAACCTTGGAAGAACCAACTCTGCAGGGGTTCGGTGACAGATGTGCCCTGAGCCCTGGGTCACTTCCCACTTTTACCCCAGTGCACTTGGCTTCTAAGGGGACAGCATTGCCTGCTCCATCCTTGAGCCCAGCTGTCACAGGTTAGCCTGCCTGTTAGATTTCACCAAGCGCTGTGTCCTTGCACAATGCATCAGCTGCTTTGCTTGCCCAAGACCTGGCCTGCATTAGAACACTGGGCTGTGCAGGGGCCCTTTCCTTCGTGCATCCCTCTCTCCCTCGTGTGAATTGCAGCAGTCCTCAGCCATCGCTTGGTTCATCTGTCCCTGTGCAGCTGTTCTGAGTTGGGGGAGATGGATTGATTGGCTACCGAGGACTCCTCTAATGCCCTTTGCTGTTAGCACAGCAGAGCTTTGCATCTGTTGGCATCAGCAGGACTCTGCTTAACGGCCAGATTAATAGAATGAGGAAGCCGAGGAAGGTTTAAATCCCTGGTGTCAGGTTCCCGCCTCAGCAGCCTGCCCCTGGGGAGGCACCAAGGAAGCCCCGACTTGTGGTGGCGAATGCTTCCCTGGTCTCCAGATGGTGATTGCCAGGGGATCAGGTGACCCAGAAATGGAAAAAAAAGGAGTTCAGTGAGTGGCTGGGGGCATTATTCTTATCCCCATTCTTACTAACATTTACCATTTGCCAAGCACTGACTTCTCTCATTTTATCCTCAAATGCCATAGTTACACAGGTGTTAACTGCAGTACCACATGAGGTACCTAAGGGTCAGAGAGGCTAGGTAACTTACCCAGGGTCACACAGGAAGCAGATAGTATTGGTGCACATTAAACTCAGGGTTGCATGACATCAGAATCTTATCTTCTCAACTACTTTCCTATTTTGAAAGAAAATAAAGTTGCCTTGACGAGTGGAAAGATTTGCTAACGTTCAGGCAAAGCTGGAGAAATGGGCTTAGTATATGCAATCCAACGTCCATAGATAGACAGATGGACAGATAGACAGTGCTTAGCACAACTATCTGCAGATGTCCTTAGATATATGGGTAGAGAGATGCATGATAGGTAGATGGATAGAAGGATACAGTGCTTTGCACAGTGAGTTATCTTTGACAGTTTGTCAGAGGACTTGGTGGTAAAATGGTTTGAGCAATGGACCCAAATGAAAATTTATTTTAAAAGAACCAAAGCGAAACATGTCCCTGTGCATCAATGGTGTTTTGATAAATTTGAATCCTTATTACTTGATTCTCTCTCTTTCTCATCGATCCCCAAGACAGTTGATCATTTCTGAATCCACTCCAATTGGCAAGGTCTCCTATCATTTAATTTTAGCGTCTCTGCCTCCTCCTGCCCCCACTCCCCCCACCCTCAACAGGCTCTCTGTCAATTAGCTAATGGCCTCCACTCAAACACAGAAGATACCTTGGGAGATGTAATGAAAAGAGCTCTTTTGAGTCAAGATTTGTCAATCTGGGTATTTGTGAACTCCGCTAGAGTTAGAAGGGGAGCAGGTCTTCAGTTATGCTGAGATCCCCCTCAGGACCTGGAGATCAAAGGCATCAGGAGGAAAACTCCCAACTTCTCCTTTTTCGAAACCAACCAGTTACTTGACTTTCTTTGATCCGCTAACTGGGGGTAGAGGGAAGGGAATGACATTCACATGATTTAAAGATGATGCTGAGGCCGTGATGACTGTGAACAAGGCTGTGTAGAAAATGAGTAGTGGATGTGAATGGAAGTTAACACTTGAGAAATTATATCTATGCAAAGGGATTCATCTATTTCCTTATTCCATAAATCGCTGTTAGGCCATGTGGAGGCCAGGCCTTGTGCTAAATGCCAAAGATACAGCAGAGAGAAACACAGAAGGTTCCTTACCTAGAAAGCATCCATTCTAGGCGAGTCAGATGAAAAAGATACAAGTACATATTAATAAATGCATCTGTAACTTCAGATAGTAATAAGTGGGTGGAAATAAGACAAACATGTTTGTAAGAGAGTGACCGGGTAGAGTGGAGGTG